AACATTTAGATTTAGCTGGCATGAAAAAATCACATTGTGGTAGGTATGTATCATTAAACTCATATATCATCATGATAATGGGTATGATGACTAGGCCAATTTTACCAAAACAGATGACAATGAATTAAATCCGAAAATCCATTTAAAATTGGAAGCATTTATTTCTGAAAATTACATTATAAAAGGTTATTTATTAAAAATAGCTATAACATATCTCCTTGGACCAAAATGACAATTAATATTTTTTTAGAAACATTTGTTTCCACTTTAAATGGGCCGCTTTGTATAATTATTTACTCTATCAATTGATAAATGTAATAATATATTTTTGCATCTATCGAAGTGTTATCAGAAATTAATTTTTTCAATCGTCGTTTATATACCTATTGTTTTTTATTTAAGTTTTTAACTATTTACACACTTTAATACTTGTTCTGACTTTAAATTGTTATAAAACGGCCAAAACTTTGTTCAAAAATTCGTGAATAGCTTTGAATATTTTATAAAAACTAGTAGTGTATGGCATCATGCCTTAAGACAAATTGCTGGAACTTTCCGTACCGTAATGAAATATTCGAGAAATTTTAAACGTTTTCAAATATATTATTACAAATACTGCAAATTTCATTATTTTTGCTATCTTGTTATATCTGAGCAAATCAAATGTAAATCATAAATCAGTTTATCTCCAAAACATTAACAATCGTCATTTCATTTCGAATTCAATTTCAAAAAAATAGTTGCCTAATTTACACAAAATCAAAAAAGTGCTCCCGTATATTCACAGTCAAAACGCATTTGCAAATAATTCTGTGCGACATTTTCACTTATACTGTGCTTAGCTTGGCGGCATTTTCACATTTTTCAATAGTTTTCACAGAATTGGAAAAGTGCTCCAGTACATAAACAGTCTAAACGAACTTGGGTAAACATTTGTACCAGAGTGGCGCTTAGGCTGTGCTTAGCCTGGGTAATTTTTTGAATTTTTAATCCGAAATTACATAAATATTTTATGGAAAATGAAAAAAGATGTAATAATTTTTTATCTTCAAAAGCCATTGTTTTGTCAATACAAGCAGAAAGTTTTTTAGATCATTCAAATTGGACGCGTAATTCACTCAAAAACTGTCATTTTTTGCACATTTAGCTCTGTGTCTTCGAAATGGCGGGACCTGTCTTTGCCAAAAACTAATCACCTCTTCTTCCAATCATTACAAACTGAACGTTTTTTAGATCATTCAAATCCGATACTTCGTCCTCTTAAAAACTCGACTTCTATTTTCTGCACTTTTTGCTCTGTATCTTCGTAACGTCTGGACCTGCCTTTGCCAAAAACTAATCAGCACATCTCCCTACCAATAGGAATCGAATGTTTTTTGAACCATTCAAATCGGTTGATCCGCGCGCCCGAAAACGTGGACGAAAAAATGCGGATATACAAAACACACACACACATCCATTTTTTCTGAGGTATGCCAAAATATTCAGAAACCTTCAAAACGTCGATAAATGCAAAAAAAAATTCATTTTCAATTTTTGGCCCTACGAGACTTAATAACAGAGCATAATAACTACCCTACGAGAAGTTAATAAAAGGGCCAAAACTTTGTTTAAAAATCTGTGGATAGATATCTTTGAATATTTGATAAAAATAAAACTCTTAAAATTATTTCAAAAGTTTAAAGGAACACATTACTCTTTAAGGCCAAAAAAGTTGGCCAGGAGAGATGATTCTGTTGTTTCATCTCGTTAGAAAAATCAATGCTTATGATAATTATGTGTGAAAATAAAAATTCTGCACTAATATGTTCTACATTGAATTAATACTTCGCAACGTGATGCATATGAAAAACTATTTCCCTTACAATAATAATTTATTTCCAGTGAAAGAGAGCCAAGACAAATACGCTGCTCTGACCGCCAAAGTGGAGTCATCAAAAAACAACCAGGCCGACAAAATCGAGAAGAGCCTTGTAAAAAACCTAATGCTCGGTTATATCACAGCTGGTCAACAGAACGACAAGGCACAAATCCTAAAAATAATATCAGCAGTCCTCGACTTCAACCAGTCGGAATGCGACCGCATAGGACTTTTGAGCAACCAAAAATCATCCTGGTTTGGAGGATCTGTTCTGCGATTGGGAGAAGAAGGCCTCGCTAAAGCCTTTGTCGAGTTCTTGGAGAAAGAGTCTTTACCCAGGCCGACTTCGGGAGGACCAAGTCTGCTGCAGATGCAGCAGGAGCGGAAGCAGAGTGTGACGAAACAGGAAGGTAGTTCTAGAGATAGTGTTACCAATGTAAGTCCTGTGCCTAGCAGCAGTGGACAAACAACTGCAGCAGGAAATGCTTTACTGAGTCAGGCAACACATGAGAACATGTTGCCGACTTTTGCACCGCCCAGAAGTGCAAGTTCGATATTGAAAGATGTTTTGAAAGATACTAATACGTAATTTTAAGTTTGTTATATAAATTTTATTAAGAGATATTTTTATATATTTATACTTGTTTCGATTGATTAAAGTATTATTTACTTTATCATAAATAATTAATAAAACTAAAAATATTAAAAATATTATACACTCTATATCATGATTTGCCAGCTTGGAAGCGTCCATTAATCACGTGATCAATTTTTCAAGGATTTTTGGATCCCCTTCTCCCTTGGTGATATTCAAAATTAACACCACCTCCCCTACCAAACATAACGCTTGTTTTTTAATTTTTTTATAAAAATGTTGGATTTTTTTTTACTATTTCCCTCCCCCTTCTTTCCCTAAAACCATAAAGTGACAATATGATGATTTGCCAGTTTAAGGGGGAGGGTCCATTGATCACGTGATCAATTTTTTCAAAGATTTTTGGATACCCTGTGCTCCTTGGTGATTCGTGGTAATATTCAAAATTAACCCCCCTTCCCCTCCAAACATCACGTATATGTTTTGTGAATTCTTTATTTCTTTTTTGAAAATGCTCGTTTTTTTGGGTAAAAAATTAATACTCGTGATATCTTACTATAACCCTCCCTACCCCACCACGTGATATTTTGTGATTTTTTGTCAATTCCCCACCTCTTACCCTAAAAACCTCACGTGATTAATAGACGCCCACTAATATAATCTAATTTTTAAAACTTAGTTAATTTTTCTATATGATTTACCAGCTTAAAGGGGCATCCATTAATCACGTAATCAATTTTTTAAGGATTGTTGGAATGCCCCTTTCCTTGGTGATTTGTGGTGATATTCAAAATAAACACTCCCCCTCCCAAAATAAACACCCCCCCCCCCCTAACAAAAATTGTAGAGTTTTTTTTATGTTTGATTTTTTTTTTAAATTCAGGTAAAAAAATTAATACGCGTGATATCTTACTATACCCCTCCCTGCCCCATGTAATATTTCGTGATTTTTTGTCAACCTCACGTGATTGATGGACGCCCCTTAATATAATCTAATTTTTAAAACTAAGTTGATTTTTCAAAAAAATATATCAATAAATTTTAAGGTTGTACTAGCAATGCATTTATATATAAGTTTTTTTTAATATAATTTTATTATTGCAATTTGACCAGTTAACTGTGTCGTCCAAATCGAGTTCATGATCCGTATATTTGTCGATCACAAAATTGAACTAGTGGTGTATGGTATCGTGCCTTAAGGCTAATTGCTGGCACTTCCCGTTCTATAATGAAATATTCGAGGCATATTAAATGTTTTCAAATTATTGCAAAATTAAAATTATTTATGTTAATTATATAAGTGAGATATATAACTTTAGCAAAAAAAATCCAAATATCTTCCATAATCAAACAATTTTTTTCGGAGATTAAAAAAAAATCTAAAGCAATTGTTTCGTCAACGCAAGCAGAAAGTTCTTTGAATCATTCAAATCGGACGCTTAGTTCTCTCAAAAACTGTCATTTTTTGTACATTTAGTTCGGTATCTCCGAAACCGCTGAACCTGCCCTTGCCAAAAATTAATCACCACTTCTCCCCGTCATTAGGAATCGAATGTTTTTTTGGATCATTCAAATACGATGCTCCGATCTCTCAACAACTCGATTTCTAATTTCTGCACTCTTTGCTTCGTATCTCCTTAACGGCTGGATCGTTATGGGTTGATGTTAATGGGTTGTTTCTTGCGCCCGAAATCGTGGACGATTAATTGTATCCAAACATATACACACACACACACACACACACATATTCACGAAACGTGAAGATACGCAAACATTTTCATTTTTGATTTTCGGTTCATTACTGTAACTACTCTAATAAATTTAATGAAATTCTTTAAGACGAGTATGTTAGTCAATCACAGTTAACTGGTTATTAAAAAAATAATGAAATTTATATTATAAAATTTAGGATTTTTGAGTACTGACTCAAAACTTGCACATACTAAGTATTTTTATTTTTTTCTAATTTAAGAATAAATTATTTCTGGGGCAATTCTGCCGTAACAGAGCTCATAAATAGCATTGTCATGGCAATGCACTGTTATGCTTGTTCTTGGTATTGAAAATTATGAAAAAGTCTTTCTATTTGCTGTGCGATCAGGCGTATTTTACATATAAACAAGTAAGGGAGAATGTTATGATAACAGAATTTTCGATGATGCAGTTATCATAAGATTATGAATTTTCACTACCATTGCCATGACAACGCTATTTCATGAGCTCTGTTACAGCAGAATTGCCTCTTTCGTCTAATAATAGGTTTCCTGAAATTAGCTTTAAAAAGCACAAAGATATTATGCATTGTTTAAATATTTTTCGATTGTATAAAATTGAATTATAATGCCATGTGTAAAAATATAAAAGTTATGTATTTTTAACATTATATTTATAGATATATAATTGTAAATAAAAATAAATTCTGACACTAATTAAAGTTTTTCAAACATAAAATATTAATGAGGTATAAAACTATGTTTTATGTTTCAGATAGTTCCTCAAAATTGGATCATCAATAAATCAATCAAATTGATTATTTGTGTTGTATATCAGGTAGTTCAATTTTTCAGCCATTGGGGCATATGAAAGTGAACTTCAAGCAGCAATATCATGTGTAAGTTGCTTCAATACTAAGGAACCGATTGTGCCGCATAAAAGAAAAATGTTATGGCAAGGCCATGTTATGAAGAGCTTTCCGTACTAAATATTGACAAAAGCCACGTGGTTGCTATGCAGTCAGGCGTTTTACTAAGGTTGTCAGATGAAAAACTTAACCTAGAAACTGCACAAATATAAAAAAAACGATCTAAGATTACAAAGTCTTTCTTACCCAGCTTCATAACATACGAGTGATGTTGCAGTTTATGTGTAAAATACCTGAATGCACAGCAAATACATGACATTTTGAAAGTATTCAGTATGATTCAGTAGCATAATACATGTAACATGGCCTTGTCATAACATTGGTCAGTTGAAGGCAGAATCGGTCCCTAAATCTTTATTTCACTCAAGCTTAGGAAGTTTCTCACAACTTTCTAATTGTCCATTATCATCTAATACTTTTTTTGATCCACAAGCCAGGAATTCAACATGTCTTTCTGTTTCTAGTATGTGCAGTGGAATCATTGGATTAACTAATGGTGGTTCAGGTTTTTCCAGGTACTGTTCCAGGTGTTCATAAGGTATGTTTACAGTAAACGGTGGTTCGAATAAGTTTGAACTATCATTCAAGTCAATCATATCCGTATAGTCCGTGCAGTTGAAGTTTATACTTGGTATTTTATAAGCTCTCAATTCCAAAGGTTCTTCCACATATTTACGGTAGTATAAAATCTTTTGTATAGCTAAATCGCGGGTCTCTTTCCTATCGTCAAACAGCATTGTTAATAAAATGTTTTCAGGGTGAGCGTAGTACGCATTTTGTGTGATAACATTATGTACAATTTGCTTCAAATTTAAATCCAAATATTGAGTCCAGCATATGAATTTGTACAATAGTACACTACCATACACCACCGAATTATAACACTTGACATTGAAGTACATTGGAACAAACACCTTCATGATATATTGTACCAATGTTTTTAAAGTATTTGATGGTTCATCAGTTGTCACATATAACCGTAACAATCGGCTGACTGTTGTGATCATGCGAGGATGTGCGATAGGCCCAGGTTTAACTTCAGCCAAATCCTTAGAAACCTCACCAGAAGACACTGCCTTGGCAATTTTTAGCAAATAATTTGAGTCGGTTGAGGATTCATCAACGCTCAAATCAGCTACATTTTCGAGAGGGATCGGTACAAAATTTGTTACAGGCTAAAATATAAAAAAAGTAGGTGACTAATTGTATTATTTAGTATTTCAGTGGTACTCCGACTTACGAGTTCAAAATTTGATTTACAAGCCAGTAAGAGTTTTCTCAAAAAATGTTAATGGCAAATTGAAAACTAGTGGTGTATGGAATCGTGCCTTAAGGCAAATTGCTGGAACTTCCCGCAGCGTAACGAAATATTCGAGGAATATTAAATGTTTTCAAATAGATTATTATAAATATTGTAACATTGTCTAATATTTATGAGAATTATTACCTGAATTATTACCTAATTAACTGAATTGCAAAGTTAAAATTATTTATTTAAAGTTTATAAGTGAGCTTTAGAACTTTAGCCAGAATTAAAATTAAAATCTGAATTATTTTAGATATATAAAAAAAATTTTTTTGCAAAAAAAAAAATAAGTTTTTTTCCAAATCCAGAGGCGAGGGCAAAGCGAAGGTTTTAGTCAGTATTATACCCAGGTGGTATTGAGTACGACACACCCAGACAACAGACCTAGTCTGGGATGTATAAATGTGTTTCCTTCGCTGTACAAAAAAAAAAAACCCTTCAAGCTGTACGATCTCTCAGCTCAGTGTATGATTTGATATTTCTCCTAAACGTTTATTCTGATTTTGATAATTCTTTTCAGAGTTAGTCAAAAAAAATGTGTAAGATTAAATGAACAATAAAACCATAGTAATATTGTAGAAATAAATGGCAAAAATTACAAAAAAACACTTATCATTGTTGGACATTGAAAACATTTGCTAGAAATGCCAATTCACATGAAATTTGAATTTAGCTGAAATTACAAGTCTAGATAATATTAGAATATAATATACAAGAAAAATGTAATGTCTACATCATTATTGCCGAAAAGCAGCTGAGGTGTACCAGGAATTAAAATAATATAAGATACAGTCAACAGTATGTGTTTGGCAGATGAAATTATATAATTCAGATTAATAAATAACTGCAATAAGTCCAAAATTGCATATACATTATTTTTTTTTGAACTTATGCATAAAATTGCGAAGGAAAAAATTAAACTTGTATGCCAGGGTACCACCTTGTAACAGTGACAACAATTACATACCGCTATATTTTCACAAGTTTCAATTTGTTTGCTCAGCTGTCCAGGTCTTTTTCTGGTTGATGTTTTTAAATAGTCAAACAGATGCCAAAAAGAAAGGTCGTTAAGATGGAGAAGGCACACGAACCAATGTAGTGGTCTCTTTAATTGAATTTCGAACCGACGCAAAATTCCATTGCTTGCATCGGTGTTTGTAGGTTCTCCATCACAACAGATGCCAATCAAAGAATCCAGTAAAAATTTTTTTTGGGTCAAAAAACCGTTTATTTTGTTGACTTTATTTTCTGCATCTTCATTCGCTAATTTTATGTAACCTAATAATTGCGAATTTGGTTCCTTTACTACAGCTAAGTGGGTTATGGAATCAGTTTTTTTGATATGGAATGAAAATGCTAGTAAAGTGGAAGCATCAAATCTTTTACTTATAACAGCTTGTCTACATTTTAATTTCCATTGGTGAACCTTTGATTTAGTCACAATGGCAGGACGGCCTCCCCTAGCTTTGACGCCAAAGTCTTTCATAATTGCTGTTGCCATTGCTGCAGCCACATCATCTTTGATACCAAATTTGTCACAGGTCATGGCAAATCTTGTAAACATGGAATTAGGAGTGTATGGTGTGTATGATATACCCAACGAGGATCTAAGATTAGATGCTCCTGCTGAGGGATTGCCATCAGGAATAAAATCAGTAGTTGTTTCTATTTTGATGGACATGGGTACTGTGTCTTCAGTTTTTGTTGGGAAATCTGGTATCACAGATTTTCTTTCGTCATGTTGATCCATAATGAAAACATTCAAATTTTCAAAAATGGATCAAAAAGAAATAATAGTTTCTTCTTGAATTGTAAGTGAAAGATACTAGCAAAATGTTCAATTCAATCAAGTTTCTATAATTCAGTATTAAGTTTAACCCAAGTTTCAATCAACTTGTTTAGAAAATGTTATATGCATAATAGTGCATAAAAGTAAGTATAAAACAGTACCTTTAAAATATCCTATTCTGTTGGTAAATTAATTCCACTAAGCTCTTTCTACTTGCACTTTCAGCTTGTCTATTATAAACTAACTTTTATTGCTTTTTGTATATCAACATTGCGATTAATTTAAAAAATGTTTTGACAGTTTTGACAGTTCGCTGTGTGAACCCCATGAAGTTTGATCATAACAGTAGAGTATTCAAAAAGATAAAATGTAATTTTTGATATAAATGTAAATATAAATATAACTTGAATTTTTTACACTCTAAACTCGTAATGTATACATTTCGCCAGTAACAAGCACTATTTCTTGTTTTTATGCCATAAATCAATTATTTCAAAATGACAATTTGGATTCCGCGCTCAATTCAAACTTGTCCTTCTCCTAACTTCACGTTGTCTAACACTTTTCTCTTAGCAACTGTCAACCTGTCAAACTGATTTCTTAATTATGCAAATTGGCTCTAATTCGAAAGCACCGTTTGATTTATTTTAAATGCGTTGTGATATTTAATTAAACAGTTGTTGGCAAAATATCAGTTCTCTAATAATTCACAGTTAACAATTTTTAGTGACTGTTTCATATCAATATAGAAATTCTTTGAAGGGGCGTCAACGGTTCAGGTTAGAGGAGTGTACGCCTAAGAATTCTTTAGTGGAATTAATTAAAAGTAAGTTTTGTTGACATCATTTGTATTGATTTAGTTTTGAGAAATACTTGGGGTTATTGATTAGCCCAAAAACCGAACGAAGTTTGGTAATAAGAAATACAAATGGTAATTAACACTTTTTTATATGATTGATGTATGAGATCATAATTATTTTAAACATAAGTTTAACATTACATGTAGTCATCATTTAGATATTTCAAAAATCTTTTAAAAAGTAATATTGACAATTATACATACACACTATGCATAATAAATATTTATATGTAAACTGAGCAAAGTAATATTTATTAAAAATTCATGAAATTTGTTTATTTCTAACTAAAATTTGCTAAATGAAGTGTATTCTATAATAGGTTCAAAATGTCGGTGGAAGCTGCGAATGATCCAACAAACCACAACACAATATTGTTCGATTTGATAAATTTTTACATAAGGACTATTCCCGATGGTGTACTGAAAGTTGCACAAATGTAAGTTTAAAATGATGTTTATTAAGTTGGACTAACTTTATTTCATAAAGTACTAAATTATGATGTGTCTCATCAATTTAAAACTTAACCTCAAAAAATATATTTCAACACTTTATAAAAATACTTATTGTGAAATATATTAATTGTAAATAGTAACATTGGATCTAAACAATTGAAAGCTTTATGTGAAGTATTAAAAAAAAAAAGTGTGCATAAGGTTACAAGCGATTGAAGTAAAAATTTTTGCTATTTTACGAGATGACATTTAAGTAAAAATAAATACATCATATAACAATTTTGAACAATGTTTATTAGTAATATGGTAACACTCGTGATGACACCATTATTAGTGTCAACCATTATACACATTTATATAATGATAAATTATAAATTATATTTTATAATAGCATAAAAATATTATAATATTTGAAAATATTAATGTAAATTAAGTCACACTTATTAGAGATATGAAGTAATTGCTGATTAATAAATTCTATAATATTTGTTCAAACAGTGAATTTTAAAACAATCTTGATAATTTAATTTACATAAAATGCATAGATGTCCATTACGAACTATATCTGTATATAATTGATACACAGCTACATAAACTATTGTTGTGCTTGATCTCTTCTTTAGAGTAATAAATCTGAATATCAATTTATTTTCATGTTTATAAAAAATATGCAACTTTGTAATACTTAATAGCCATCATAAACGAAAAACATTGTAGACTTCCACTAAACTTCCAAAGTGCCTGAGATATAATTCTGCGTAAGATATATCTTCATGATCAGATCATGATAGAATAAAGAGGTAGCTTTATATTTTAATATCTATAAAAATGCAGAGAATTATTATGTAATCATTGCCTAAATAAATATTGTTTACACAATTTCACTCATCATGTAATTAAAATTAACACACATTCATTGACTGCTTGTTTTTTTTTTTTACTTTTCGCAGGCGATACAGTCTCATTCTTTGAGCAGCTGTAGTATGTGTTTTGCCTATAAAAATAACTTTCCGTTTCTTACACGGCATAGATTTCTCATTTGTTTTTGTTATTTTCATTATACAATCAAAGCAATCATACTCACGCGACACGACGTCCAATCGCAATCGACCCGTATAGAAATGATATCATTGAGAGCGAATGACGAATTGTGGCACACAACTAACGTAATGCTTTTTCGTTGCATTAGCATGATTTACTTTGTCCATTAATACATCTTATTTATCTATTTCAGGCTTTAATTTGCTTGGATTTATTTGTATCGAAGTTTCCAATGCATCATATACATCAAGAGGTGCATGGTTCAACACTGTGTCTATGACAGCATTTTGGTTTACGGGAATTATGCTGAATTTTATACACTTTTCACATAGTTGAGAAATTCTACCAAATTCCTTGGCTCAAAATAGAGTTTGTGTTTAACGGTTTATGGACATTTTTCTACTTGTTAGCAGCATCCTAGCTGCTGCACATGGATCATATTATGAAGGCATTGCAGCTGCAGCGGTAAGTGGATAACAATATTTTTTCTAATAACATATAGAACAAAATTGGGTTCTGTCTATCATAAGCAAAAATATCAAAAATATTCTTGTAAACTTTATTAAAACAAAAATTTTTCATTCCATTGGTCAATGCATGAGATATGAATTTTCAATTATGACTAAATATTAAATAGTAAGTTGATAAAATATTATAAGAGTAAATGGGAAAATATAATCTACTGATTGAGATTTTTCCTGCCCAATGTGTATGAATTATATTTATTCTAGTTCTTTGGTTTCTGTGCGATGGTTCTATATGGATACGATGCATTCTTGAAATCAAAGCTATCAGAATGGGTCAAAGTGCGCAAGGTGTTAGACCAGAATCCAAAGTTACAACACCCACACGACAGGGTTATTAAATGTAACTTAGTTATTAAACGCATCACTTCTGTAATTTTATGTACTTGATAACTTAAACATTATTTTTAACTATGCTGTTTACCAAAATTGTTAGTAATTCATATTTAACACTTTTGGGGTTCCTTTTGAAATTATGAACAGATTTTAATTAATATTCTGTGGTAGTGGAATGAATGTTATAAATCATTGTGGGTTCCTATAATAATTTTAAAACGGTGCTAGTCTTTTGATAATTTTGTATCGTACAAAGACAAATTACTGATGGAAAATTATTTATTTTTGTGATTGCTTGTTGACCACTTTCTTCAACAGTATTCATTTTGATATTATTCTGGATTTACTTTTTGTAGAAAAAAATAGATTCTTTTGTGTAGCCCATTTTAATCGTTGACTATATTTATATCCTTTAAAAATAGTATTATTAATTTAATTGTTGAAATTATCTAATTAAGTCTTTTTTTCATTTACTTTCCATTTGAAGTCTTCATTATTATATTTGTTTGTTGTACAATACTACGTGTGTCTAAGATGAAAATTGTTAATTAAATTTGTTAAAACTAATTAAAATTATGATACAATTTAAAGCTAAATTTAAAACTTGTTATACATGCATTAAATGTATTTCTTCAATGCTAAATGTTGGTGTGTACTTACACTAAAAAAATATTTAAGTTTCTGAACTTTTATAGGTATTTATGGGGCAATTCTGCCGTAACAGAGCTTATAAATAGCGTTGTCATGGCAACGCTCTCTATGCTTGTTCTTGGTATTGAATATTATGAAAATGTCTATTTATTTGCTGTGCGATCAGGCGTATTTTACATTAAAACAAAAGAGGGAGAATGTATGATAACTGTTTCATCGAAGATTATGCTATCATAAGATTTTTTCTTGCTTGTTTTTATGTAAAATATGCCTGATCGCACAGCAAGTAGATAGACATTTTTATAATTCCCAATACCAAAAACAAGCATAAGAGAGCGTCGCCATGACAATGCTATTTTATAAGTTTTGTTACGGCAGAATTGCCCATTTATTTCTAAAAATTAAATTGTTTTCAATATTGGTAATTAATATTTTTATTAGGATGTCTTAATACTCTTGATTCTTTTGACCTAATCCTAATGTGTCCATAATTTATTTGGTTAAAATTTGGCTATTAAACTCATCCTGCAACCACAGATTAAAACTGATACAACTAATAAATTTTATTATTTAAGAATTAAAACAAATGCTGCATGATCTACAATATGAAATTTTAGTCCAATACAATTTGCAAATTATGAACTATTTATTTTGATATCTACTTAGTATATTTAAACTCTCATCACATTTTAATTCATTTTTTTTACCTCGATAGGTAGACAAAACGATTGTAAATGGTTAGATCACCCTTTTTAACAGTATCAAAATCATTGTATATGGTTTTCTTCCATATTAATATATTAACAAATTTTCATTTATACTGTGCCTCCAAAATAACAATCGAAAACAAGTGCCTGAAAAACTATTCTTCTTATACATAAAATGAAAATTTCTATCTATATATTTTGTAACAGTAACTTAACTCTAAATATTTTATCGAGTTAATTAAATAATTTATTATTACAACAAATATAACTAACAGCAATTTTATTACTGATTATATTAAAATTACGACTAAAGAACAATTTCTGAAGTTAAATATGGTAAAATTATGTTTATTAAAAACAAGTCGTATTTTAGATTTGACAAAAATTAGA